CCCCCCCCCCCAGTGATAAACCGTTGGTGGGAGCCCCAGGAGGGCCCCTTATCAGTCCTGGCAGGCAGCCTGAGCTCAGGCAGTTCCTCACCCCTCCCCACAAGGGTGGGGGCACAGTCCTGGCCTTAGTTCATACTTGTAGACATGCCCCCCCACCCCCCCGCCCAGGCCAGAACAGGAGGGGCTATACCCTCCCCTGCCAATCTCTCTCTGAAAAACAATCGATTTTTTGACCTTGGGGCAAGACTTTGGCCTCCTAGTTCCCGTCAGGGGTAGGGGAGGAGGGCTGGTGGGGAGACCAAGGAAATGAATGCCCCCTACCTTCTCCTGCTTCTCCCCCTCCTAGTGTCCTTGGGGACCCCTTCCTAAGCCCCCACACCCCTGTTAAAGATTTACAGACGACTGCCCCCTCATCATCTGGCTCCCTCCCACCTTGTGCCCAGGCCTTAGAGCACATTAGCTGCCCCCCATCCTGATGCCTGCCTGGCTGGATCCTAAGCTGGAGTGCCACAGTGGTGTGACCCGGGGGTGATCTGGCTCCGTGGGTGTCTATCTCTTTGAAACCAGCAAAAGAGGGGTGTCAGACCCTGCTGCCTGTTGGGGAGGGAGGGCCTGGGTGGAGCACATGGTCAGCCGGACCAGTACCAGTGAATGCTCCAGGATAGGGCCCTGGGACCAGGGACTTCTGGGTCAGAGCCCACCGGGCATTGGGGGAGGTGGAAGAGTCTTGGCCAAGGTGTTGGGAGAGCTCGGTGACTTTGGACCAGTCACGGAGCTCCCTAGGAACCGGCTACTCTTTGGTCACAAAAAGACGTAGAGCTGGCAGGTTTCTCCCTCTTTGGGGCCTGGGACTTTCTGAAAGCCTGATGAATGGCCACGTAATCTCACCGCATAAACACATCACAGGCACAAAACGCTAAGTTTTACCTCAATTTTCAAGCAAAGGGGACAGGTCCCAAGACCAGGACAAGTAGCACCAAATAGACAACTCAGCCCCCAACCTCTCCCTTCAGGGTCTTCCCTAGGAAATCGCAAGTCTAGAGAAAAATTTGGAATTGCCGGGGCGCACAGGTACCCAAGTCCCGGCCCCATGCCTGTCACCGCCAAGAGCCCTGGCTCACCTATGCTGCAAGTCCTGGGGTGCTTAAGCGCGGCTCCCCTGAGATCTGAGGCCGGCGCCAAGACTCCGCCCACCAGGCCCCACCCCGCCCAGGCCCGCCCACGGGGACGGCCCTGCCACTGAGTCCTCTCCCCGAGCTGCGCTCTCCTCCCGGACCTCGCTGCGTGGGCCCCTCTGGTTGACCGACTTTCTGAAACCCGAGGATTCCGTGGCTCCTGGGGCTGTGCCCTGGCTACCACCGAGGGATCCGGCATGAATATAGGTACGACTCTCCCCTCGTCCCCAAGCAGGCGAAACTTTTTTTTTTTTTCTTAAAACATTTTTACTTCTTTCAATCCAGAAACGTTACAAGCCAAGAGGGAGAGGAAGAGGAGGGGGCGATGTGGGCATTGGGGGCTGGGGGTTGGAGGGTCTTCAATCTGCGCTTGCAGAGGCCTAGCCGGGGAAACAACTACCCCTCCTTCCCCTCCTGCTGCCAGGTTGGGAGGCCCCGGGTGTGGGGAGAGGGCACCTTCAGGGGCATTTCCGCTCCACGCACTGCTTCCCGCCCTCCTCGTATTCCTGCTTGGAGATCCACATCTGCTGGAAAGTACCCTGTGTGGGGGGTGACATGGGCCATTAGGGAGCTCTGGAGGGAGGGGTGGGCAACCGGTCCAACCCCAACCCTGAACTCCGAGGCCTCTCAGGCACCAATCCCCTCTCAAATTGCACCCCTCTCTGCCTCACCTCCCCTGTCCTCTGTCCCCTGTTTAATATTCAGAGGGAGAATACCCCCCTTCATATCATTCAATTAAGGATTCATTCATTCAACAAATATTTATTGAGCACCTGTCTGCCCCGGACCAGGCACTGCTCCTGACTGGATGGTGGTGCTCACAGCCCCAGGCCAACCAGTCTGCACCCCAACTGCTTCCCACACACATTCCTCCACCTGTGGGCTCTCCTCAATCCACCAGGGGTTACAGAAACCTCAAGTTGCCCTCATTACCAAGAAAAATCTTTTCTCTACCCTTATCATCCCCACACTCTGGGAATGCCCAGAGTGGAATGCGCCGTCACTCACCGCTGTTGAAGCTTGCCCTTGAGGGCCCCTGCACTGGGCATCTCACTGTTCCTTCTCCCCAATGGCTGTTCTGCCTGAATGCTGGTGTCTGTGGGTCTGTTTCTCTCCTCTACTCAGAAGTCTTCCTTGCCCTCTCATCTACTCTCCCACTTCCCCCCCAGACCCAAGTTCCCAGCTGTCTCTTGACACCTCCCCTTTGTCTCTGAAGACCTCAAAGAACACGTACACAGTAGAATTCACCATCTTCCTCTAGGCACCGCCAAATGTGCTTCTTAGGTCCTCTCACCTGTGCTCCCTAAGACAGTGGCCACCAGCCTCACATGGCTCTTGAGCACCTGACATGTGGCCAGTCAAATGGGGCTGTGCTTGAAGTGGAAAACATACTCTAGATTTTGATGATCAAGTATAGAAAAAACTAATGTAAAGTAAGTATCTCATTAATAATTTTCTACATCGATCACACATTAAATGCAATGTTTCGGATATTTCAGATTAAACAATATCTTTTTCTTTTTCCATTTGCTATAAAATGTATGTGCTCACCAGCAAGACAGAGAAAGGGAAGGTGGAAAAGCACCCTCCAGGGAGGGCGGCCAGCCACAATCCCTTTTCCATTCTCCTCTCGGGATTTTGGGCACTCGTGCATGCATGTGTGCCCTGTGGTTTGAAGCCAACGGGTCTAGCACTTGAACTGCACAGTCAGCTAGGTGGGATCCAGCAGTTCAACCACCATGACACCTGCTGGCCTCACAGGGCCTCCCTCTGTATCCAGTAGGTGCCTCGCCATAGCCTCGGCATGACCCATCTCTTTAGTACCTAGTCCCTCTGCCCCGGTCTGTGTCCCAACAGAGTATTCACTCTTCTGGGAGCACTCACTAACTACCCTTGTCTCAAATAAATGCTTGTTGAATAAATGAATGAGGAGGCAGGTAGTGTGGAGGCAACTGTCTGGGTCTCCCCTTCCCCACATTCCGTGCTCCGCCAGGCCCTTTCCCTCTCACCAGTGAGGCCAAGATGGAGCCCCCAATCCAGGGGCTGAACTTGCGCTCCATGGTGCTGTTGCTGGCAATGAGCTTCAACCGCATGCTCTGGGGGGAAAAAGGGGCTGGGGGAAGCAGACAGCTAGGTTCTGGGAAGGGATAGGGCTTGGGGGTCTGGGGAAGACTGGGAAGCTGCAGGAGGTATGTCCTGGTGGCCAGAACATCTGATGTTTGGGATGGAGGAAGGAATTGGTCCTGAAGAGCTGAGCTAGGACCCTAGGTCATGGGTGAGCTCTTACCGGTGGGGTCTTCTGAGAAAGCTCTCGATTGAGCCTGTCTGTGAAACCCTGCAGCAGAGTGTTCCCGCCCGTGACAATGACACTACCGTAGAGACCCTGAGAGCAGGGAGGAGTGAGCCTGCAGGGAAGAGTACCTTCCTGCTTGCCCCATGCCTCCCGGGCCCCTTTGTCTAGCCTCAGTCTCAGGCCTCACCGGGCGAATGTCGATGTCACACATGCCGATGCTGGTGGTCACCACATGGCCCACGCCTAACATGGTGTTCCCCGACAGGCCCTGTGGAGAAAGGGGACCTGAGCTGGGGGCCTGATGCCTCCTACCCCCAGACACCTGTGATCTTTCTCAGCCTCCTCCAAACCCCAGAATCCAGGGACTCCAGGTACCCAGCCAAACCTTAACATTTGAGGGATCAAACAGGCCCTCAGGGATGCGGAGTCTCTCGGCGCCATAGTCCGTGTTGTAGCCATTGGGCATCTCATAATGCACTGTGGGCATTTGTGCAGCCACCCTGCCCAGAACAGAGCAAGACTCTGCCCAGGATGCTCCTGGAGGGCTGGTAGGGTGGGCAGTACCAGAGACCCCCAAGTCACAGTTCTGCCCTCTTTCCCATCCCCAGCCTTAAGCCATACTCACTGCTCATCATAGGGGGAGTCTGAGACTTGCAGCACCGAAGCCTGGAAGTCCTGGATCACCTCCTGGGAACCCAGGAAAGGGTGAGGGCCTGGCCTCCCTCTTGAGCACTCCCAACCACACCTTCCCTCCAAGTCCTGTCTCCACCCCCCAATCCTAGCAGAGGACTAGGGGCAGGGAGGACTGTTCCAGGGATCCTCTCTAGTGCCTCACGTTGCACATGTAGTTATGCCAGGACTTGGAGACCTGGGGCAGCTTCTCCTTCTTCTTCCAGTTTGGGGGGGCACCCTCCCTTACGGGTTCCTGTGGAGACAGAGCCTCTGAGCACCTTTGCCATCCCACGCTGACACACCTGCCTTCCCAGCACTCGCTGACTCTGCAGCTAACTGGTCCTGCTCTGCCCAGAAGAGGGGTCACTCATCCTTCCTTGATTAAAAAAAAGAGAGAACAGGGAGGGCTCTTTACTGGGTCCTGTGTCTTGTGGGACCCAGGACAGCAGGCTGTGTTACTTAACACACTCGCTGGCTCTGCAGCTAACTGGTCCTGGGGGTTCTGCTCTGCCCAGAAGAGGGGTCACTCATCCTTCCTTGATTAAAAAAAAGAGAGAACAGGGAGGGCTCTTTACTGGGTCCTGTGTCTTGTGGGACCCAGGACAGCAGGCTGTGTTACTTAACACTCACGGTAACCCCGCCTACTTTTATTCCACTCTGCAGAAAAGAAACTGAGGCTCAGAGAGCTTCAGTATCATGCTGTTGGTCACACAACTCTTATACTACAGAGGCAGGACTTGAAAAACTTGAACTTGGGTCTGTACTGGCCCCCAGAACCCACCGCATAGGCCTTCACACATCTTGGTGCTGGCTGGTTGCATGACCTTGGTCATGTGCCTCAGCCTGTCTGATCTCCGGTGCCTCGATTATAAAATGAGAAATGGGCTGGCTAGGTGGTGCAGCGGTAACACTCTGCTCAGGGATGCTGGATTCATATGCACCATCATGAGTTCGGTTCCCTGGCCAGCCTATACATGCCAAAAACCTGGCCTGTGATCCTGACTGGCTAGAAAGGCTGGGGTCAAGGGAAGACTGTGGCATGAGACCCTGTTGCTGGTCTTTCTCTTTCCTTCTCTCTCACTCTCACAAAATAAAAATAAAATAAAATAAAATAAACAAGCAAATTTCACAAGGAACTGGGCCCAAGGTCCTGTGGGAGTCTCACTGCCCTCTGTTCTTATAGCTCAGACGACAGCGGGGCTGATGGTCAGAGGACAAGTGCCCAGAACTTTGTGGTGGCAGCTCTGGGCTCCCCAGAGGCCCCACCTTGGCTGCGATCATGTAAGGTGGGATGATGTCAATAGCCATTTCCTGGAAGAGCTCCCGGCACTGCATGGAGATGAAGTCCCCTGCCAGGGGTGACTTGACGATGCCTAGAAGAGGAGGTAGTGTGTCAGGACCGGGACCTCCCGATGCACCCTGACCCATGCCGAAGCCCCACCTTGCTGCAGCACATAGCCGTCGTGAACTGGAATGGCTGTGGTGTGTGTGGCCCCACTGTCCAGCACAAGTCCTGTGGAGCGTCCATTTGCAAAGCTAGTGTATGGGTCAAAGAGACAGCAGTGACAGGTGAGGGGACTGGGCACGGTCTTTCTCTGCTCTCTGGTCTGGCCAATCCCCACGCTGCAGATCTCTCCTGGCTTATGACCCATCTCCCAGTCACTTTTTTCTTTTTCTTTTTTTTTGAGAGAGGTTTTTGCTATAGGGCGCGTGCGCTCGCCAGACAGACAGAGAGAGTCAAAGAGACAGAAAGCGAGAAATCACCCCCCAGGGGGGATGGTCACGCCACAATCCCTTCTCCTCCAT